GGGTGAGGAGATGAAAACATCAGCAGCTAGAGTAGGTCTTGTCGATTTGAGTGAGAGAGGATTGGACATTCACGTGACGAAGGTAGGCATGAAGTCGGTAGGAGCAATTGCAAGCAACAACGGCAGCGGCAAGAAACCCTGGCAGCCGCAAACCAGCTCAAGCCTTAGCATCCGACAGTTCCACAGTGCGCTTCTTAGAAGCAAGAGAGGTAACACTCAGCATGGATTATCTTCCGACGGTCCAAGAGGTTCTGGGTGACACCAGGTTCTGGAGTCAACAAGACTTGCTGTTTTACAGTCTGATGCTGAACCTGTGTGTGGCGTTGGCAGTAGGCATGGTCATTTTGACCTATGTTGTCTACTTGGTTTGGAAGAGTTGTGGGCCAAAACACGTGGCGAAGCACCCACTTCTCTTTGTCTCACGAACGGGTGGGAACTACCACAGTACAGTGGAGTGTCCTACTCTTAGACAGTCCAGGGGTCTGCAACAGTTCCCTGCCTGTCGGGTGTGTGCCAGTGGAGTAAAACTCTATTAAAATGGAGCACTTTCCCTGGTACAAGGAGGGTGCGAGAAAACCTCAATCCCCAGTGTTGTCTAGTGTACCATGTAAAGTGTAAAGAGGTACATGTGACAATGAGCCCAATACGCAGCCCACTAAGTGCTCGAAGCTGTAGAAAAGGTAGAGCGCTTTTGCTTTCGCAGAAACAACGAACCCCAAGGTTCCTAAAAGGGGGGCCCTAAAGGGTCGTGTATGGACAGGTTACTCAGCCTGAGAAAAGACCACATGAGGGCGCAAATCCAAATACCATTCTAGTAGATACTGAGCCCCATCAAGGGATCTCTAGACCCTAAACCCAATTTAGAGCCTGTGGGTTTGTGGGGCGCAAGAATCCCGCGGCTACCCTACAGCGTCCGAATCCCAAATCCGCACCCCAAAGCCTTAGACCCAAAGACGTTAAGTTCTAGGAGCCTTCACTAGAAATTCTAATAATAAGAAATTCCTAAAACCGAAGAAGGTGTTCTAGGTCTAAGGGTTAGGGTCTAGTGTTAACCATGACTTAGCAGCGTTGCTGTGCTACCCTGCCTTACCTGTTGGTGCTTGAAGATGGTGCGGAGGAGTGAATCCCGAAGATAACCCTAAATGGGGTTTCCCAAAATTAGGGGTACCCTTTTAGGGGTCCCCATCATCAAACCTACAGTGTTTTGGGGTCTATATTAGTCTATATTGGGGTCCCCTTATTTTGGGAAACTACCAAATCTTAAACCCTAAATCCTAAGCCTGGAATCCTAAATCCTAAGCCTTAACCCTAAATCCTAAGCCCTAAACCCTAAACCCTAAACCCTAAATCCTAAGCCCTGAACCCGAGTCGGTCCTTTTTTTGGCTCCAAGTTTTACCCCCCCACTTTTTCTGTAGCATCAGGCTTTGCCCTGAACCCTGCAAGGGTCCTAGAGGTCCTACATCTTCTTCAATATGCAGTCCCCTTTAAGTGCGTATACATATAGTCCCCCTTAAGTCTTCAATATGCCCAAAGGTTTAGGGTTTGGGGTTAAGGGTGTTTGGCAGCCCCTTAAGTAGATAGAATATGGGATATACAGGGATGTTATTTTGATTTAGGGCAATTCCATATTCCATCTACTTGAGGGAGGCCACACCCCGGAGGATTTCGGGTTGAGGGCAGTTTAGGATCTAGAAAAAGGGCATAAGGGGTCCATAGGGGTCCTAAACCCTAAGCCCTTATATCCCTAAACCCAATAGATGGATCCTCAGGTTTGCATGAAGGTGCTGCTAGAAGCTCAGGCGCATGGGGATTCTGGTTTAGGGTTTGGTGTTTCCAGTTTAGGGTTTAGGGTTTAGGATTTAGGGTGGATCAGAAACATGTCTGGGCCGGAACTGTTGATTGAGATCCATGTGTATATGGGCCCCCTTAAGTAGATAGAAGATGGAATTCCCCAAAAGCCATGTACGATCCCCGTATCGCCCTAAACCCTAAGCCCAAAACCCGACATCCCCAATATCATTGTAAGAGCCACATATACCCCATATTCTATTTGCTTAAAGGGGACTATAACCCTAAACCCTGAATAGTTTCCATTTTCTTTTTCATTACTACCCTATACTTCAAGAAGACTGTAGGTCCAACTCGTGCGTAGCCACTTAGAGGGTGAGCCTACACTCCCTTGGCTCTTCTGGTGAGTGTTACTTAGGATAAGGTAATATAGGGTTTGGGGTTGAAGGTTTAAGGATTTCGGGTTTAGGGTTTTCACGCAGGGCCCTTCGCAGGAGTGTGTCAGAAATTGCATGTGGCGAGCAGGGTGTTAGTCCGCAGTTCAGGCTTTGAGGATTTCAGGCTCCCGGAGTGCAGCAGGAAGCCAATTAATGTAAGGGCCTAAACAGCTGCCGCTATAATGGTGCTGGGTCCAATTAGACCTCAAAATGGTACTGGTAATCATGTCGCTACAGTAAATCGCCTGCCCCGTGACTTTGAGCGGTAGCCCATTCGTCACATTTAACCTTCTTGGAGTGTTGAGACCCAGACCCCAAGCCATACAGAATGCAAGTCGAATGGCTATGCCTCCTACCTACCCCCAGAACTCTTCCTCCCAAGACGTGGAAACACAACCGCAATGTGGCCACTCCCAAGTGACTTCTCATTTAGGTGAACCCCAAACCGTAGCCCCCCAACGCACAAATCCAGACCCTAAACCCCAAACCCTAAACCCCAAACCCCAAACCCCAAACCCTAAACCCTAAACCCTAAACCCCAAAACAATCTGAAGCCCACCTCCCTACCGTCCGAATCCGAAAGCATCCTGAAGTCCCTCGGCCCTCGACCTCGAACCTCCAATCCCCAAAGCACTCCTACAACCTGAACTAGAAGCTGCTTGGGGGGGTTTGGGGTCGGAGGTTTAAGGCTTTAGGGTTTAGGGGACTCAAACCTGAACCCTCAACTCTCCCCGTAGCCCCAGTTACCTATAGTTCAGTAGTAGTTTCCGCCTAATTCATAGGTACAACCCATAGAACTGTAGGTAACTGGGGTTACATAATCCTTCTAAACCTCAACATAAACCCAGTTTCCAGTTCATTGCCCATGTTCTTTTCCATTTGATTCTCCACCAAGACTCACAAAACTGTAGGTGATTGGGGCTACAGGCCAACCAGTGCTACACTCCAAAACTTCATTGATCCATAAGCCGCCCGATTTGCTTCAGTCGAAGATTAGCAGTATGGGTCCTAATATGGGCCCTTATGAGGCCTTTCGAGACTCTAGGAACCCTGAAGGGTACACATGGGGCATATAGAAGGTCTCAAAACCTGAGCCTTAATCCCTAAATCCATATAGGGTATGTAGTAGGTATACAAGGATCCCATGCGTTAGGGGCCCATACTAGGAGCCCATGGTTTCAAACATGGGCCCCTAATCCCTAAACCCTCATCAGGCAGAGCCCAACTGCTGCGACCGGCTGTGCAACACTCCTCTGGGCGAGGCTGCCAAGCTCCTAGGACCCAAAAATGGAAAATAAAATTGAAACTGCAGGGCATGTTGGGGTTATATAGGGATAATGGAAAATAAAATGGGAACTACTATTTAGGGTTTAGGACCCATGCAAGGCTTAGGGGTTTGGGGTTTAAGCTTTAAGGTTTTGGGTTCAGGGTTGTTGGGTTTAGGGTTTAGGTTTTTTTTTTTGGGTGGGGGAGGGGTGTTGGGTTTAAGGTTTAGGGTTAAGGGTTTGGAGGTTTAGGGTTTAAGCTTTAGGGTTTTGGGGCTTAGGCGTTAAGGTTCAGGGTTTAGGCTTTGGGGTTTGGGCTTTAGGGTTTAGGCAGGGTCCAGGGTTTAGGGTTCAAATGAGCTCAAGTGGGCCCCCAGTCCTACCCTACTGTGGACACCACGTAAAATCCTGCATGACCCTAGTAGGCCACAATACGATACTTCCAAGGGTTTAAGGTACTCCCCAAACTCTAAACCCTAAACATCGAACCCTAAATCAGGAACCCTAGGCCTCCAAGCCCAAAAAATTTAGGGTCCTGCAGCCCTAAACCCTAAACCCTAAACCCAAGGCCAAAAAACTTAGGGTCCTGCAGGACTCGTGGTCCCATTCCCGCCAAGGTGTGGTGCCTTAGATGTCGTGCAGCTTCTTTTGGAGAGGCGAGGGCAGGCTGGATTTAGGGTTTAGGGTTTAGGGTTTGGGGTTTGGGTTTGGGGTTTGGGGTTTAGGGTTTAGGGTTTGTGGGGTTGGGGGTTTAACAGTCTAGGGCTTAAGGGTTCGGGGTTTAAGGGTTTAACTAGGGTCCTGGGACGTTTAATATTTACCCTAATGGCTTTGATAATAGGACCCTATATACTAATATTACTAATATTTTTCAGATGGTTTTAATTAGGGGCCAACCCAGTTAAGGGTTTAGGGCTTAAGGCTTTAGGTTTAGTGTTTAGCCTTCGTCTTGTGACCTTCCTTCATCCTAGCATCCACCTCGGCCCCAGGTGTAAAAGGGTTTAGCATTAGAGCGTGAAGCAACTGAAAGTTCCTTTTCATGACTTGAAGGTTTGGGGTTTAGGGCTTCTGGTGTTTCAGGCGCAGGGAGGCCGCGAGTGAAGTACTATAATGGGCCGGGGGCGGGGGTGGAATAGATGTTGGGATTGTATAGGGATAGTTGGTTTATGATTTCAAGCCGTACAGATGTGGGAAAGGGTTTGCATAGGATTAACATTCAGGGTTTAGCGTCACTGCTCCAGGGTTTAGGGCTTTGGGCACACCCATGCTAGCAAGCACAAAGCCCCGAAAATGGCCCAATAAACGAGGCAGTCCTTTTGAAAGGGCATACTTGCGGTTCCATGTTAGGATTTAGGGCTTAGGGTTACTAATGGAGGGTGTGAGGCGAGATTTTGTGGGGTATAGTGTGATCTGCCGGGATGGGCCGTTCTTGAGGATATTAGCAAGGTTTCAGCAACCAACAAAAGCATTTTGGATTGCTTGTATAAGAGTACGTCAAGTATACCTCCACATGATGTTGGTAATAATTTGGGCCCCTGCCTTCGGCTGCGGTAACCCAAGCCCTCCATGCCTGTAAACCGCAGAACCTAATTTCCATGTCATTGATTTGTCTTTTTTCATATGGGCCATAGTCTAAACTCCTTAAAGGGGGTTATATAGGGGATTATATAGGGAACTACTATAGGGGTTATTAAGGGGGATACTAGGAGTTTAGACTATAGCTCATATGCTTTTCCATCGTTCTACGCATTCAGGCCCTTCTACAGCCCTAAACCAAAACTTGTATAAGCCCTTCATGAGCAATCAACAATTGTCATTTGCGTATTTGCGACGCTTCCGTTTTCTTTTCCGCCATCCCTATACAACCCCTGTATACCGCCCATTTAACCCCTATATGGTTGAAGTTGTTGTCTTGTCTGTATTCCGGTGCATGCAAAGAACCAAAAGCGCTAGGACTCTCCCAAGTTACCCGTGGCGTGGGATTACACAAGGGGTTTCAACGAACGCTTATAGAAGCCCTGCATAGACCCTATACCCCTAAGGGTCCAAGGACCCACAAATCCCTATTATTTAGGTCCTTGGACCCTTAGGGTACAATACGTGTAAGCCCTGAAAGCCTATCACCTAAACCTGATACCCCATATAACCCACGCCTTCGCTAGCAGGTGAACATGTGCAACTACCGGGCCGAGACACCTGTGCTCCTAGCGATGCAGCGAAATCATATCGAGGCTGGGATGTGCTTCAAGTGCGCAGCTCCTTTAATAATTCCCTTAATGATAGAACCCTGCACCCACGTAATAGTCAATATTCTCAGTTTGTATATATATATATACATATGTATATACATACATGTACATATGTATGTATACATACACATGCGATGTAAAACCCAACCCTTTAATGGAAACGTTGTTAGTAGAGGGGACGGGTGTGTAATTCGGCCAGACTAGCAAGGCAAGTTGAGTGCTTCCGGAGCCTAAAAAGTGCTTGTCTTCAGCTTCTTCCAAAAAATTCAAGGAGGGTTCAGAAGTGATCACTGAAAACCTGGAAACCCTAAACCCTAAACCCTAAATCGCATCCCCAAGCATCAATCTGTAGGTTGTTCGCCTTCTTTGCCGGCATCGTGCAGATGCAAACAGGGGCAACTCAATGCTTGATTTGGGTTTAGGGTTTAGGGTTTAGGGGTTTAGGGGTTTAGGGTTTAGGGGTTTAGGGTTTAGGGTTTAGGGATTTAGGGGTTTAGGGTTTAGGGTTTAGGGTTTACGATTGCATGTTTGGGCGCAAAGTACTTTATGGGAGTTTCCCAACGGCGCCGATATAGACCCCATAATACTTGAATCCTTATTCTGGGAACCCCAAAAAAGGTACCCCCAATTTTCGGACACCCCCATGTTGGCGCCCTTAACCCCCCAAATATCTGGGTTGCTGTTAAGGAACTTGAAATAAAGTTACCATAATGGGTATATATAGTAAATAATAGGGTTTCCCCAATATAGTACCTTAATTTACGTTCCTTAACAGCAACCCAGATATATCCCGTGCAGGTACCTGGAGCCGCTGGGAAGTGCTGTAGATCTTTAGCTGGGTTCCTGTTCGGAATCCTATATGGGTGGTTGTCAAAATTAGGGCCCCCTTTTGGATCCCTGTTACAATACGGCACCTAATATTTAGGGTACCCAAAAAGGGACCATAATTTTGACAACCACCCATACTGTGCGTGTTTAAGCTTGAGATTTTTGAGTTCTTTTTCGCAGCAGTAGGCAAGTAGCAGCCTGAAGGTTGAGAATTTAGAAAAGGCCTTGTAAACTGTAGGGAGCTTGAAGGACCAGAGGTTTTGAACATGCACCTCTAAGCTCAATTCCCTACAGTTGTCTAGGTCATACTTCGACCTTAAACTCGAAACCCTAAACCCTGTGGGGGGGGGGGGGTTACTATTGTAA